TGCTGTGCATGGGGTCACTATGAGTCAGTTCCGACTTGATGGCACCTGACAACAACAACAACAATGTCTCCTCAGCCTCAAGGTGGAACTTTGTGTGCATTTGCCAAATGAATGAAGTATTATTACACTGTCATTTAGTCTGAGCAACTGAATCTTGGCTTCATCACTGTCTAGATGTGTGACCCAAATTGCTGAGCTCAAACATAGGGATGTTTGAGAGTGAAAGGCCATGAGTCTAAAATGTTTAGCCCAATATTTGACATAAAACCAAAACCAAACCTATTGCTATAAAGTGTATTCCAACTCATAGTGACCCTATCAGAGTAGAACTATTCATTAAAGTGTGCAAGGCTGTAAACATTGAGGGGAGTAAACAGTTTTATCTTTTTCCCTTGGAGCAGCTGAAGGGTTCCAACTGCTGACTTTGCAGTTAGCAGCCCAGGACTTAACCAGCTACACCACTAGGGCTCAATAAATGTTAGCTACCGCACTCATACCACTAATAAAATATTAATGGAGAAAAAAAAAAAAGTATGACATTTAGGTAGCTTCAAAGGATTGACAGAAAAAAATGAGGGAAACACAGAAAAAAAACATTAGAAAATCTTGGGAAAATACTACAAGAACAAACAGACAAAATAAATGTAAATTTTGAAACAATACAAAACCTGCCATTACAAATCCAGATTAACACTAAGATTTGGACAATGGATTGAAAGGGCAAAGGAGGAAATTCAAAGCAATGGAAGCCTGTTTAGTGAGCTTGACAATAAATGTCTCAAGACTAGTATACTAGAACAATCAGAAAAAATGAATGAGAAAATCTGAAGAAAGTCTAAGAGTTATGTGGGACATTGTGACAAGGAACAACTTATAGGTAATTGGAATTCCAGAACAAGAAGAAACAATAAAAAGGACACAGTAAATGGTCAAAGAGTTGTTGTAAGAAAAGTTCCTTAACATCATGAAAGATGAGAAAAGAAACTCACAAGATGCTAAACGAACCCCAAACAGGATAGAACCCCAAAGAAAATCACCAAGACATATCATAATCAAACTTTCTAAAACCAAAGACAAGGAAACAATCCTGAAAGCAGCTTGGGGAAAACAAAGAGGTTACCTACAAAGGAGAACCAGTAAGGCTAAGCACTGATTTCTCAGCAGAAACAAAGCAGACAAGAAGGCAATGGGATGACAGATGCAAAATGCTGAAAGAAAAAATTATCGACAAGAATCAGACGCCCAGCAAAGCTGTCCCTCAAATAAAACGGCAAAATTAGGGCATTTTCTGATAAACAGAAATTAAAGGAATTTGTAATGACCAAATCAATTTTACAAAAAATGCTAAAGGGTGTTCTTTGGACTGAGCATCAACAACAGCAGACAACAACCAGAGAACACCATACATGACAACATCACTCAGAGCT